GTGGAGGTGGAAGTGGGGGAGGAGGTGGTGGTGGTGGTGGAGGAATGGGTGGGGCTGGTGGATGGGGATGGGGTGGAGGGGGAGGGGGGTGGTGGGCATGGGGTTGTAGGAAGCAAAACAATAACAAAGAGAGGAGGCATCATCACCATAATTGGAATAATGGGAAGAATGGAGAGTACAAGCTTGGAGAGTTTGCACAATGCATGGGCAATGGAAGATGCAAAGGGATGAGGTTGGACTGCCCTCTTCACTGCGGTGGACCTTGCTTATATGACTGCACTTATATGTGCAAAGCTCACTGTCGTCGAAGACAGTAAGAACTCTCGAGATTAGAGTACAATCTTTAGTTCAATTCAATTCAATTCCGACATTCTGATTTGATTCTGAACTGATATGATGCTTAGTTTAATTCAATTCCGACACTCTGATTTGATTCTGAATTGATGGGAATGGAAGCAATTGTCATTATATTCCTAGTAATCATCACCTAGCATAGAGCCTAGCTAGGGAGATTGTTGTCAGCTATCATTTGAAGTTTGTAATGATTTTGAAGAGCTTTTTGATTTGTGTTGCATGTTATGTTGTGTTTAATCTGTATGTGTGAACCAATTGGGTGTGGAAAAAGTTTGCTTCAGATTAGTATATGTACTGATTTATATAATCTTTTCTGCAAAAGATGATTGCTTTTTTGACATGTTTTGATTGTGTAAGTTTTACAACTGATGAATTTTGATTTTTGATTATAACTATGTTGTTTTTGGAATAGATAATATACAAAAAGAAACATGACATCCAACTAATGTGGAACATGCATATACATACATACAATAATTGTGGTTCTACTTAAGGAGTACAAATGTTATAAGTTCAAGATTTGTTAAAGTCCGGGCAACTCTAATCAAGTCGATCACACAGTTGGTTTAATAATCACAAGGTTTCAAATCTGATTTTTCATGAGAATTGAATTGTCTATTGGCCTTCTCAATTTGAATTATTTAGTTATAGATAATTTCACAACTTAGATTGACTTATCTCATGATCATTTATTGACTAGGGTCACAAAATATTTTTCACTTAAAACACATTTTCAGATAGTGACCGGAGGCTACGTGTTTGCATTGATTTCTCATAAATCAAAAATTTGCTAAAGTCAGCATGAAGTTGCAGCAATAAATAAATTAATTAATAACAACAACAACAACAACAACAACAACAATAACAACAACAACAACAATAATAATAATAATAATAATAATAATAATAATAATAATAATAATAATAATAATAATAATAATAATAATAATAAAAAACAGGTATGAGGGACAAATCATAACCATATGGGAACATGATCATTACTACAGATACCTTACAACAAAATTCTCTTCTTCTTTTTTTTAAGAATAAAAAATAATTTAAAAAGGAAAATAAAAATTGATAAATTTTGTAATTAGTATTTTAAGTTTGGTGTTATGGCAACTCCAAGCATCATTCAGAATCTAATACTCCCTAATACATAAAGATTAGTTTCAGCATATAATATATAAAACATAAATATATAGTATAATTATTAGTTTAATTAGAATATTAGTTAAGAGAAAATTTATCATTCAATTTGATATGATTATTTAAACTGTGTCTCCGATAAAAAAGGAACTACGTCTATGTGCTACTTAGAACCTATCAAAGTGAAAATAAGTAAACCATTCTGTTATTAAGGCAAAAGCAATGCATAATCAAATTAAAGTTCAAATTGTATAATTAAAATTCTCGATTTTAGTATGTTACCTTTAAGAACATTTGAACCAAGACTAGACATGTTCCATCAAAAACACTCATATAGAATTTAATCGTTGTGGCATGGATGGATTGGCGACACACCATAACTACTCTCCACTCAATTTATAAACTACGAACGCCTTTTGGCGTGGACACGACTTATAGTTCTTGTTTTATTCTCCTTTCTATGGAAAAAAATAAAAAATTCTGAATTGAGATTCATTAAATTGTAGTTTAGGGTTAGATTACAAATAATAGTTTAAATTCTATCAAATTATAAGTTTTAATTTCAAACTTAAAGGTTACCATTACTCTTGTTCGGAAGACTGATAAATGTGATAAATTATAAAATATAAGTCAACGAACTGGTTTTCAAATTATTGTAGCCATCGAGATGAATTTTAATTGATGCCCCCACAAGGGGAATTTCTAGGTGTGAACCTGACAAAATATGGGCTATTCCGAGTAGCCATACCGCCCACCTTATCGGTTCATATTCTGTCACCATCTTCTTAAATTTCCACTCTGAAAAACTTACAGTAGATTATGCATATCCAGACACCAATTTGAATCCCCAATTACAATGGCTCGACTTTCACATCCTGATCCGACAGAGCATTTGAGATGATATAAATCACGGTGACTCAGTGATTCAACAGATAAAACCAAGAGTGTGAAATACGTGAACGTGACTTGAGGATTACCGAATTTATTTCTTAAATTTATTGATTCATTCATTCATAGCTATTTACAAAGTGGGGAAAATGAGAAAGAAATTGGAGAAAATTATAGATGTTTGGTTGATATATAATACATCACTGGATATATATCCTAGCTAGCATAGAGTTCTTGATTTCTTGAATGTGAAGGGAGATGTACTGATCTGTGGCACTGCAAAAGAAGTGTTATCTTTTCTCCACTTTCTGCTGCTCTTGTTTGCAGCTTCCATGGAGTTCTTGATCCCAATTTGCCCACCATAAACTGTAGTTGCAGGTGTGATAATTTCTGAGGTGAAAGTGCTTATTAGATTGCTCTCAAGATCATCACTACCCCAAAATGGCAACCCATCATTATCATCATCACCAATCTACAGTCATCAATCAGAAAAACAAAAGAACTGAATTCAATGACTCAAGTCTGTGTTAATGATTGAACTTATGGAAGAAGGACAAGAGGGCAATCCACTTAAGTTAGTCAGGCTGTTAGTTTCGTTTTAGGATCAAGCGTTTATTACTGTGCCAAAAGCTATAGTTTGTAAGGAAGATGTAACTTTATTTCTTTTACACTGTCACATTTTCGAGAGGCATGGTGTTGGATTTGGCCCTTCAGATTTTCGCCTAACAATCCATCTAGTCACTTGGTGCTGGACTTGTCCCTTCACGGGCCTTCGCCCAAACACTGGGTAGCTATAAGGTTAAAAATTCACTCCAAATCGGAGCGACCTATTAATATTTTAGTTTGAACTCGCTAACTATGGACAGTCTAAGCTGGTTTACCTCTCTTTAAAAAAGGATAATTAAGAAGAGAGGATGAGAGAAATTCAAACCTTGGGGAAGCCATAAGAGGAAGAATCAAGAAGCTCTTCAACATGGAAGCCTGGTAACATCTGTAAGTATTCTGATATGCTGCTACTAGTCATCATCATCAATTCCCCATTTCCACCACCCTTATCATCATCATAAGGACTAACAACAGGCTTAATATTTGTGGGGTTTTGAGTGTGATTTGTGGGTGCTGCTGATGAAGATGAAGATGAAGAAGTTGCAGAGATCTTAACACCAGTGAGAAGAAACCTGTTGTGCTTCTGGGTATGCTCATTTGCCTTGTGTATACCAACATCACAACCTCTGCATAGTATAGCCCTGTCTTGCTGACAAAACATGAATGCCTTCCTCTCCTATATATCATCAATCAAACCAAACATTGTCAGCCAATTCAACCCCGGCCCAGACCCTAATTACCCCACAAAAGCTAGCTCGTACAGATAAAAACCCGAATCCTCCTCGATCACCTATATAGACCACATCATTAAGACTAAGAATTCAAGAAAAGAAAGTTAGTTCTGCCCCATGGTTACAAGTTCAACTGGTAACTAGCTAATCAACACTGCTGAAAATTATCTAATTTCCGACCACCTGAAAATGATCAAAAATCATGTCAAAAGCATTGTTCCGACCACTTTTGGCGTCCGGAAAAACCTTTATAACTATTTCCGACCACTTTTTACTTTAGATTCGATTTAAAATCACTTTCAGGTGGTCGAAAATTTCATAATTTCCAGTAGTGCAACTATAGGCAACTTAGTTAGTTCTTTGCCGACTATAGTCACATGACAGAATTAAAGTGGGACACATCATCATTAAGACTAAGAATTCAAGAAAAGAAAGTAGCCCCCGCCCCAGTTAGTTCAGCTTCAAGGTTACAAGTTCAACTGCTAACTAGTCGATCAGTTAATTGCAACTTAGTCAGTTCTTTGCTGGCTAGAGTCACAAGACAGAATTAAAGTGGGACGCATCATCACTAAGGTTAAGAATTGAAGAAAAGAAGTGATTATATATATGTGTATAAGGATTCTGACCTGACAGATATCACAGAGAGGGGAGTGTTTAGGTGATGAAGGTTGAAGGAGGGAGAAGGTATGGTGGTCGGTAAGAAGGTTGTTGTTGGGGTGGTGGATTCTGCGGTGGCAGGAGTGACAGAGGGCGGCCTCATCTGCAACACAGAAGACACAAGCTTCGGCCTTGTGGCAGACATCGCACTGGATCTTCATTTGAGATGTTGTTGTTCAAGAAACAAAAAGATGGAAATGCTGAGGATTATAGCAGAATTGAAGGAGAAGAAGAAGAAGAGAAGAATGGTTGAGAGATGAAGAGAAGCTAGTGGGGATAGAAGGTGAAGATATATAGTGGGGAAGGTGGCGTTGAAATTGGGTAGGAATGGAGATCATCACTATTTTATTCTACCTTCAAAACAATAGTTATTGTGTGGAGCGTGATCCACACAGCTGTGTGGACTAGAGTTCGAAAATGATATAGTTTCGCGTAAATTTTTTTTACGTGATTCATTGCAACATACATTTTTATAATTCATAATGTTCATTATTCTAAAACATAATGTACATTATTCTAATTCATAAGATACATTATCTTATCTCAGAAGTTTTATTATTCTAACACATAAAATTCTAACTCATAATGTACATTATTCTAACTTATAAAATTTAACGACGTTGTTTTGGACCCGTGGTCCACACAGCTATTTGGACCACGGTCCACACAATAATTTGCCCCTAGCTTCAAAAGTACCCCATTTACTATTTTACTGTCTTTTCTTCTCCCAAAAAGTTGAAGCGCTAATCTTAAGGGCCTCCATGTCTCAGTCTATCCACTTTGGACATAATCTTCACAATTGTATTGTCGAATTTCAAATATTAGTCTCTTCTCCCGACTTATCTGATGGTATTTTTGAATTAGTTCAATGAATTTGTTGTTTTTAAAAAAAATATGGGCATTAGTACTCCAAAGGAGAATCAAAGTATTCAAACATTATTAATCTCGATATGTATCTTAGTTGACTAATTGAATAAATCTATAGTTACCTGCATGGATAGCTCAATTGGTCGTAGGGTGAAATTTGGAAAGAATGGTCAGAGATTGAGTCTCACCAACAGTAGTGTGGGAGCAACCTCTCAAAGTGAGAGGGGCTCCTGGTGCGTAATAAGCAAAAGTCTTGTTTCTGTATTCAGCTGAGTTACCATGATTTAACCTTTTGGGAGAATAAAACTGTAGTCAAATTAGATCCAAAAGCATCGCAAACTACTTTAAATAGGCTATAATAGGGAACTTCTAATGGTCATAATGATTTTATTATGTCTAGAAAATGAAAGTGAATAAAAACTCTCACCACTCCCTCCGTGAATGAAAAAGGAAAGGAATAAAATTGCAATCTGCCAAGCACTTTGAACTCAGATGGAACTTGAGTTGGACTCTCATATAGGAAATTATATGAGTTCAAGTCTTAGTGAAGACGTAATTAGCTTTTTTGTGCTTGAACACATACTACATTGTAATAGAGTCAATAGCATTGTTTGTAATATTATCCGAAACCCAAAGATGAGGCAACTAAAACAGCAGAGGATTCTGGAGTCCTTCAATTCGTCCTGGAGTTGGGTGATTTGAGTTATCTGATCTTCTATGCATAATCTAAGCTTCAAGTGGCCCTTTGTACGTGATAGAACTCAAATAATATCAGTGAGGGAGGCATCGCCATGTGAACTTTAGCTCATTAGCTGATTGCTTCATGTTACTAACCCAACCCTAGTCTACTCCTGCTCCCTACCCCCTATAAAATAGCTAGCTTGCCTAGAGCATCCTCAATAGTGTGAAGATTAGGTTTTACAGGTGTGATTAGGAAAGAGAAAATGAAAAAAAAAAAAAAAAAAAAAAAAAAAAAAAAAAAAGGGACTGTGTAACGCGCCCGCTGGGCACACTATTTTTCTTTTTCAACGCGCAAATTAGTGCTGCTAATAAAATTGCTAGGACCCACCTGACTGACAAAATCTCCATTTTACTGCAAGAAACTCAAACTTTCTCTCACCTTACTCTCTCTCCTCCACCTCAACCATTAATCCTCAAAATCTGGTCTTAAAACATCTAATGGGGATGCTCTTATAGGCACTCCACACACCGGTAAGTTATAATAATTCAGCAATACATTAGATATGAGAACTCATAGATACCCTAAACTCTTTATTTGCGTGCTAAGGTTTTTGTCAAAAAAAAAAAACAAAAAAAAAAACAAAGAGGAGGGAGGTCGCTAGAGTTGGCGACCACCCTCAATGTGCTCAACGGGCACATGTCCACTAGGCGTTACTTGTGTGCAAAACGTGCACCGATTTTTTTAATTTTTTTTTCAGTGGGACTCAGTGACTCGATCTCTTCTATTTTCTCTTTTATCCACTTCACTCAAAAGCTCACAAAATTTCTGTTAGCCTTGTTCTAATTACTCAACTTAATATGAATGTCAGTAATTATATAATTATATTAAGAGTACTCATAGAGAACAAAACTTCTTGGCCTGCACCTTTTTTTTTTTTTTATTTCATTGACCAAAGAAGTGTGAACACCACAAGTTTTTAAAAGGCAGTGACAAAAATTGACTGCAAGAAAGTTTTGCTCCATCTATCTCATTTTATCTGTTATATTTATTATCTAATAGTCAAATTATTTTTTTGCTTATTTTTTAAATATTTTTAAATTTAAATTTTTGTGCTAAATAGTACTTTTAATATAGTTTCTAAATATATAATTCTATATACTAATACTAAACTTAATATTATTATGAAAAATTAAATTAAAAATAACATCAATCAAACCTCATTAACTAAATCAGACACATAAAATGAGAAAGGATGGATAAATTTTAGCCCAAATTAAAGACCATACAAGTTGCTTGCAATTTAGTTGCATAAAATCCATTGACAAGATGAGCACCACCAAAAACATAAAATTAAAGAGCCATTCAACTATACATCGACCTCTTAACAAGATTATCAAATGATGCGACACTCAAGTCAAAACCCTAACTCCGCCATAAAAGTTAGTTCATGGGAGGAGGTTTAACTCCAACTTAAGTACCACTTTACAATCTCTCGCGCAGCCAATGAGATCGTTTCCAATATCGAGTAAAATCTTGCAAATAAAATAATAAATGTAACTTTAAATTAATCAAGGTCTAATGTGATTGTTGAATACCAAAAAGGCATGGTATGAACTAACAAAACAAGGGTTATTGACAAAGCACTCAACTCGAACTTTTCTTCTTAATTTTGCTTCTCCGTCATATTAAATCAGGTTTCTAGAAAGGAGTTTAGTTTTCCTTTATCAAGATATCGAATTTGAATCTAATGAATAAAATAGTAAACCTATGAATTTTTGAATAAAATTCCACGTTCAACTCTAGATTAATCTAAATCTAATGTGATTATCAAATTATATATTTTTTTTAAAAGTCATGATATTTGTTTTTAATAATTTAAAAGGTTCAATGATTGAGTAGAAGGTGCACTTTTATGTGTAAAAACAAATTGCATATATAGCTGCTATTTCTAGTCAAGCAGCATGGAAATCGGACACTGTTACATAATTTGTTGCATTATTAACCCCAAAACTACCCCAAAAGCATATATATAGTTCAACTTTAACAGGTATATTTTGAAAAAAAAAAAAAACAATAACAACAAAAAAAAAAAAAAAAAAAAAAAAAAACACACACACACACACACATTCACAAGCATATGATATATGGTTAAATTGGCGACGATTAAGATTGGGGTTCTAACTTTTTTTAAAACATGGTTGAAAGCTTTAATTTCTCGAGACATAGTTAAGCTTTGCTTCACTGACAAGTGTAAGACGTAGGATTCAATTGAAAAGACAATCAAATAGGTGACAATTTTTTAGACTGATCTGGATCCTAACTTTAATTTGAAATGGTTAAAGTTTTTCTAAAAGCAAGTTCATAAGACATATATATTTCAACTCTGCTTCACTAAGTGATATAGGGCTCACTTAACAATGGCAATTTGACGAGTATCAAAATTAGGGTTCTAATTTTTTTTTTTAAAGACATGATTGAAGTGATGAAGATAAGATGTTTGGGTCCCAATAAGTGGAAGCAAAAGTGCAAAACTAGTCGGCAAGCCCCAAAAACTATTGTGGTCAACTAGGACATCATTCAAGAAGATGTGCCTCACCAAACCTTGATTTAGTATGAGAAAAAAATTCCTTAAAATGGGCAATAGGGTTTGTAGGAGGTTTCATCCAGCCAGCGCAGCCACTCAATATCAACTAAAAGACAAAAGAACACTTTTTTGGTGCACAAAAAAGAATGGGGAAAGATAAATTGGGAAAGTCACAAGATCAGATGTGGATTTCCTTGTGTGAAAGCTTGAGATTTGGTCTGCTATACATATATTTGGTTGCCTCCATTAGGATTGGAACAACTCATTTTGTGTATATATCTATATTATTCTTCCAAAAGGTTAAGGAACTCCTCTCATTGTCGCGGGTGAGACTCAATCCCTGATCATAAATGTAAGGGACCTTAGCGAAGGTAGACACAATTTTTTTTTATTGAAGATGGGTATTGAAGACCTAGCCAAGAATATGCATACCAAATATCGCCCCACTGTACTTAGTCCTCCACGTCAAGTATAGAAGACTTTTTCGATGACATGATCGAGGGTGCAATGTAGACTTGACTGGCCCACGTGTGTGGGGTCCAACCACATGAGATAGTTAAGTCGTTTAAACATAAGTTGAGGCACGTGGGGCCCAATAGTTATTGTGTGGACCGTGATTAAAAAACGACGTCGTTTCGCATTATTTTTTTTTTTCAGCGACTCACTACAACATACATTTTTATAACTCATAATGTACATTACTCTAACTCATAAACTACATTTTTTTATTCCAGAAGTTTCATTATTCCAACATATAATGTACATTACTCTAACACATAAAGTACATTATTCTAATTCATAATTTACATTATTCTAACTCATAAAATTCAACGACGTCGTTTTAAACCGTGACACACACAGCTGTATGGACCACGGTCCAAGCGGGCCCAACCAAGGCTATATTGGGAACCTAAAAATACTAGGTAGAAAAGATTAAGGAATCATGGGCCTAAAATTCTTACAATCCACTGGGGATTTCTGAATCCCACCTTGACAAACATATACCTCTTCAGGACACCTATACAGACAGTTATCCACTAAACTGACATTACTGGACCCGGGCTTCAACCTCCATAATGGGCCTGGAACCGGCCCAAACAAGTAGTTCCCGCCCAACAATAACCGCTCGAACGACGCCGTTCCGTCCTTAGGAATCACCGCCTTCGTCGCATACTGAGTCGGTATCGTCCCGGTGAACTTGTTATGCTCCAACGACAGCGCCGACAGCATCGGCAGCGACGCCATGAATTCCGGCAAGGAGCCGTGCAGTTTGTTGAAGCTGAGGTCAATCGCGATCAGCTTGCTGATAACGCCCATGTCTTCCGGGACTTGCAAGCGCGTGAAGTTGTTGTGCGAGAGAGTGAGCTGTTGGAGCGATCGGTGCCGGAAGAGCGCCGCCGGCGCTCTTCCGGAAAACGCGTTGTGACTCAGATCCAGTACTTGTAAACACCTCAGCTCCGATACTGCGTTTCCGGCGATCCTGCCGGTTAAATAGTTGTTTCGAATCGAGATTTCGACGACGGACCTCGGGAACACCGCCGGGAAGCGGCCGGAGATTGAGTTATCACTCAGGTCTACGAAGTACAGGTTTCCGAGTCGACTCAGATTTGGTAACTCGCCGGAGAGATTATTGTTTTGAAGCTCGAGTCTGTTCAGTCTCACCAACCCGTTGAAACTCGGCGGGATAGAACCGGTGAGCCGGTTGTTATCGAGGAAAAGCTCTTGTAGATAAAGAAGCGAACCGAGCGAGCCGGGGATTGAACCGGTGAAAGAGTTCCTGGAGAGACTGAACCGGCGCAGACGAGTCAGATTGGAGACGGAAACCGGAATGTCGCCGGAGAGCGAGTTTAAAGAGACGTCGAGAACATCCAGGTAAGGGAGGTTCCAGGCGGAGGAATGGGACAGTGAACCGTTGTATCCGGCTTGGTCCAGGCTGATTTCCGTGACTCGGCTTGAACCGTAGACGATGATATCGCACCGGATGCCGCAAGTGAACCGGTCGGAGAAGATGGAGTCGCATGGGTCGACGGCGAAGTCCCAGGAACTCAGGCAGGATCCGGGAGGGATGGAAATCGGGTCAAACCCGTTTTTAAAATCCATTAGCACCTCTATATCACCTGGATGAGTCTTGGATTCTACTATGCAGTTTAAACTCCAAAGAAAAGATGAAACTATCACAAAAGAAAACTTCATTGTTGGGTTTAAGATTTGTTCTAGTGTCTACTCTTTAGATATAGTGAGGAGTTCATGAGAAAATCAATCAATTTTATATTCATCAAAACTAGATATAATTGTCAAGCATCTTGTTCTTAGATGTGACATTTCTCATGTAGGAGGTCATGAGATCGAGCCTCAGTGGAGGTGTTGTTGACTCTTTGTGCTTCATTAGTTTGAGGAAGTATATTTGAACAAATACTACAATCTAATAGACTTAGTAACATTCAAAAAAAAAAAATCGATATAATTATCTATCATTACATACATTTTACGTTATAACTGGTATAGCAACACGGTGTCTCCACTGGTTATTATGTTTGGTCGGTTACTATGTTTGGTATTCAATGTAAAGCGACTCTCCTGACTTCCATATATGTGTGTGAGTAGTTTAATTGGTTAATCAATTCAAAATAAGTTTATAAACTAGTGTACAAATGGTTAGGAACTGATAGGTATATTGAGACATATTTCAAGATTTTTGTTATAATGAACTATTAAGTTTAACATATAATATTGGTAGTAAAGGAATGCATTAATGTGTTAATAAATAAGGCTAAGAAAAAAGAATGAATATGAATCTTCCTCCAAGATCTAGATCACATGCCACTGTTGCTTACTGTCAATTCCAAGCAAGCTGAAAAATAAGATTTGTGGAGGGAATATTCCACCAACTACCTCAAAATATTCAGAACTAAAACTCTGAATCAGATGACTAAGTGAGTGAAACATAATTCTCGTACGTGAAAATCACAAATTCAATTCTTATTAAGACTTTTTTAGTCGAGCTTTTTACATAAAATCTTCCTTGTGCAGTTTACATTGTGGTAGAACCAAAGATTAATTTCTTTTTTTTTTTTTTTGGGTATTTCCACTTGAAAATTTCACAGGATAACAGAACTTGAAATTAGTACTATTTATAAAAGGATAAGTGTAGTTTTGACCCCCCTAAAAAAAAAAAAATTAAAAAATGGTGCAGAGTATTTTTCCTACTGATTACACAGAAAACTTCTATCTTTACACATTCAAGAGAGTTACTGAGTTAGAAGGGAGAAAAGGAAGGGGACAATCTAGCTTAAGCGCTGGAAGTGCGACGAAAAACCTGGCACTTCTCAGGGCATGCCAAGCAGCTTTTCAATCTTCGTTTTCCTTGAACATGGTTCCTCGTCTCATCCCATCGACAAGTTGCTTTACCCGGCTCTGGTTTGTCTCGAATACAAACGTCAACCCCCTTACCTGCACACAAGCACCAAGCATTGGCATGGCAATTGGTAAACAACAAGAAAGAGCGGCAAATTATTGTGTGGACCATGAATATAGGGTACATTTTTAATATACTAAAGGTACATTATTTGTGTACTGAATGTACATTATTTGATAGTATATATATAAAATAATGTACTTTCAGTATTAAAATAGTGTACTCTCAAATAATGTACTTTACGTATATAAATAATGTACCTTTAGTATATTAAAAATGTACTTTTTATTTATGGACCATGGTCCATGCAATAATTATTGAGAAACAGATCAGCCCCGGTTGGGGCAAGCAAGCCATACCTCAATCAAAGAATTTGATGTAAGATGCACGCTTTGGTTTTGCACTATTTCTTTGCCATTGACGCGGATCAGATGTTTGCTAACGTTTTGCAAAAGGAAAACTCCATCCTCGTTGATCTTTATAATTGCCTTATATAGGTAGTAAATAAATATTAGAATGGATTAGTACATTATGCAGACATAGTAGTAAGGCACTACTAACCTCTCGTTTACAAGCTAAGCTATAAACGAGGTAGAGGGAAGTCTAACAAACGTTGAAATTAGGGCTTACTATATTTTACCATAAATTGGCTTTCTGCTAAAAGTTCGTTCCTATTTGCTATCAATTTTCTAATAATTGCCAAATACAGAAACTTAAGTATTTTCCAATGTTGCAAAAGGCGCTAGTCGGGCACCCGGGGGGCGCTTGGCGCCTAGGCGGTTAAGTAATACGAGCACATCGTCTCCACTTTTCCCACGGCCACAAACTAGTCAACTACATATGTTAGATGGTTAGTTGAGTACATGGCTGGAGGAATATGGAAGATAAGCAACTGAGCAGGCAATAAATACCACTCGGCCAAGTTGGGCGCCAATTAGGCGGAGTTATGCGCCCAACTCAGCGCTTAGGGCGCCTAGTCGGCCAACCAACTAAAAGCCGCCTAGGGCTAAAATCGCTTCGGCCTAGGGGTGCCTAGCGCCTAGTCGGAGCCTAGGCCGACTTTTACAACACTGGTATTTTCCAATTCCCCTCAATCTAAAAGACAAGAAAAAGATCTAAAACTGTAAAAATAATTCAATGGAAACTTAATGACCCATCATCATTAATTCAGGGCTGAGCATAGTTTACCTGCCGCCGAGAAACCTTATTGCCACAACATTCTCCGCTCAAATCAATGTCAACTTTTGTCTCCGCAGTTCCCCTCCCAAGCAAAACCTACCATTCATTGGACTGTATTAGAAAGCCCAAGGGCGAGGGCATAAAGAAAAGAATGCTACTTCAAGTCGTTTGATAGGAACGAGCAGTAACATCTATATCTAATCCAGTACTTCAAGAACACAACATCATAACACCTATCACATGATGCAGCTTTTTTAAAAAAATATTTGTACCCGATGCATGGGGTCTTTTTATGTTTCGCAGTACAAGGGCAGTGAAAGGTACTTCAGTCTCTCCATAGGTAATTTTTACTCGTTGCAAAATAGGTTGAAATAGCTCATTTGATTATTTTTTGCGTTGTCACGAAGAAATCAGAAAGGAACGTTAGTCAGATGACAAATGTGAAATGTCATCCCAGAATAACTACAGTAGCTTTTTTGAGAAAGTCATTTTGCATGTAATTAGTTATCAGCTAATTTTACAAACACTTTTCAACAATCAGCTAATGATATCAACTAGTCAAACCCACTAACCCAATCAGCTAACAGCTATTTACCAAACACCCCGTCACCATATGGTTAGAGAAAAGTCAAAAAACTATAATACCTCTGGTTTTTTAATAAAATGAGTTGAGTGGCGGCTATATAAAACAGCAAATGCTCCTTGCGCTGCAATCACTCTTTGTATATGAGCTTCGGCACCCTGCTCTAGTCTCATGATTGTCCTTTTAGTCTGCTGGTGTTGATATTTTGCAACTACAAATTGAGAGAACAAAAGGGTGGATCATGAACTAAATCAGCAAATCCTCTGTCAAGAATAAAGGGGCAAACATTAATGACCAAATGAGAATGAACTGAGACCTACCTTCCTTATGAAAGGAGATGTCTTTGTCATCGGGGCTCAGGTCCATGTTAAGGATCTGCAAAAAGCACATTAGTATTGAACTCATCGATAAAATCCTATTCCTGTGAAGATATAACCTTTTTTTTCTCACCAATGCTTCAACATCTGAAAAGTGAGGTATGTCCTCCTCATCACTATCACCGGGCAAATCTTCTTGCTCCAACAGTAAAGCCTCTGCGCTTGACTCTGGGATTGTTGCTTTTGGAGAGACCATTTCACCACAAAATGGTTCATTCTTTTGCAGAGTATCAGCAGAATCTAGCTCATGCTTAACGGTAACAGTCTTCTTCTGCAAGCACAGAGGGACTGGCTGGGGATCGCGGTTACAATTGAGGTTCTTTGCATGATCACTTTGCGTAATTGTTTCCTTAGCAGGTACAGGCAAGGCACATATTGTAGTTATTCTCGGTGAAGTCACTGGCTTCGGACCTTCATTTGAGCTTGTATTCATTCTTATCGCGTTTCCAGTGCCACTATTAGGTACCTCATAACTAACCCCACAATCACTGGCAGAACGGTTTAGACCCATTCCTGAATGCTGCAGCAATTCAACCTTTTGAGAAGACATATAAGATTGTTCGTGATTACTTTGTTCCCTCTTCTTCGGGGCAGACCATCCGTTATTGTTTGTGTGGCTATTTCTGAGAGAGGAGGATGTTGATTGAAAAGTTGCATCGTATTTCCATTGTTTCATAGAGGGTAACGAAGATGTTGATGGCATCCGGATGGGAAGGAAAACATCATCGTTGCTCGGGATATCTGGATCTTCAGTGTTTAGCGTGCAGCATATAACTCCATTGCGAAGTTCAGGATATGCGGGATTGACACTTAGAGCAGACGATAGCATTTGAACCTCTACATACCGATCACCACAATGGTATTGAGACTTTTCAGCTGATTCTTGGGGTTGAGCAATGTTAAGGTTTTCGTCTGGAGCAATTGATACTAGAGGAAAACTTTCGTTTGCTATTTGTTCGGCACTCGGAGAATCCAATAGGAGTGATCCATAAGTATCCAAATAAGATTCATTAATTATCTCGTCTCCGATATAATCCATTGGAAACATGTCATCCTCGATTGACGAGTTGAGAATAGAATCGATTTTTGCTAAGAGATCATCGGGGATAGGAGTAGAAATCCCCCCGTCACCTGGTACTTGGTCCTCCACATTCGGTTCTGATTGAATAATACCATCAATAGGAAGCGTGAAATCATTTATCATTTCCGGTTCTTCCTTGGGTAGCTGAAAGTTATGTAGAACCGGTGAAGTTCCCTCAATTGGAGTCCATCCCGGCATCTGAGAAGAAGGCGAATGTCCAAATGTGTGAAATGACTTGCCACAATCTGAAACCGGTGAATTCAAGACTGGGACTTCGAGCCCCGTGGCAGAAACATTCTCGGGCAGGTTGATGCTATTTATGAAGTGATCATTGTGTTCCATTGCAAAAAAAGTAGCATCTACAACACCTCCAGTAGCATTTTCATGAGCAACCTCAAGATCAGGAAAAACATTATCGATGAAATCAAATCCCGACTGTTGGTCACCGAACGGATCTGCCAATGAATCTTCAAAGACGCAGTCTGGTAGTAGAGGCACGCTCGTATTACTGGACCCAGTAAGAAAATTCATATCCATCGAAGGGTACGCTTCATTACAGACTCTCTTCCGCATAGAATAATAGCAGCTTCTAACACTCTCCGTTCTTCTCTTCCCAGAAACAGATTTAACGTCTTTGTCATTCTCGAACCTATTAAGTTTCGATATCGCAAAAGAGCACTCGAGCTGGACCATTTCACTCGACGCCCGTTCAGAAACAAATGGATCATAAAGAAGAGAGTTCCATCTATCCTGCAATTCTTGAACAGTATATCTCCGAGAAAACTGCACAGCACCTTTAGCAAGCGACTGTAGTGAAGCACCCGCCTAAAACAAAAGGAAACACGGAAAAGATACAACATTATTATGTCAATTCCACATCCTCACAACAATGCTAAGAAACCGAAATCTCGATTAATCTCCCTATTAACTCTTCGAAACTACGATATATCACTTAAATAGATAATTAATTTCATAATGCTCTAAATAACACCAAGACTCGCCATGAAACAATGATCAAATTCACGAAGCAATTTAAGAGGAAACCTTTGCCTAACCTTCAACAGCTTCTTACAGTGAATCAAGTGAAATTATTTTAAATTTTCATCCTTCTTCCCTTACAAAGTAAAGTATCTATGCACAAACATTTCTATATATCACACACAGACCTTAATGAAACAGACCAATTCTGAATTTATATCCCAAAGAACATCAAAGCACACAACAATTTAAGAAAAACCTAAAAGGCTACAAATTAAAAATTAAAATTCCCCTTTTCCTAACCGAGAAAAACAAAACATTCCATGAAACCAAGAAATTACAGTTCAAGGAAAACAGTTTCCAGTCTCACCATAACAATACAAGAAACAAAATGAAGTAAAAAACATGGAAACAAAGAAACACGAAAGAAGGAAAACCCAGAGCCAATTAACAATAACCAATAACGAACACCAAAAAAGAGCTAAACATAGAAATTTATTTTTCCTGGAAATTATCTTTAAAAAAACGAAATAAAAGATTTTTTTTTTCTTCCATTGTTACCTCGGCGGCGTTCTTAAGCAAAAAATCGTCTTGCGGAAGCCAATGAGGCGCCGGAGGCAAAGCTCCCATGACTGCAACTTCCCTAACTCGAAGAACCTTTCTGCCGCTGCGCCGCTTTCTCTTTCTCCCTAAATTGTTTTTCGTTTTCCTTAATTTTTTTTTATTTTATTTTTATTATTCTTTCTGCATAGACTCTAGAGCCTGTGAGAGTATATAGATATATATACTAAATTTTAAAATGATTTATTTCCGCTCTCCACCCTAATATTCCGTGATTATTAAATATTAAGTGATTTTCATATTTGTCCATTTTAAATATTATTTATAGTAAAATTATAATGTTCAATTGCTTATTATAGCGAGTGCAATCAATTTCATAAAAATTTATATTGTTTTATTAAATTGAGTGTATGACTTTTATTTTTGGAAAAACGACATTTTTTCTCCTTAAATTATATGTATATAGTACATTTTTTTCCTGAATTTTTTATATAAGTACATTAGTCCCCTCAATTATTTTAAAAGTGACGAGTTTCCCCTCGATATATTAAATTGACATTTCTACCTTTAAAGTAAACATTTTATTTATTTTTCTTCTCCAACAAATTATTACTTATACGTAGGGATGATCACGGTTCGGTTCGAACTGAACCGAACACTATAACAATCAATTGATAGTTTCCGGTTATGATTCAGATCCAGAACCCAATATTTGGATTTCAGTTTATTAAAATTATGAATCGAAAAAATTTGATCCTGAACCATGAACCTGCGGTTCCGGATCCGGTTTGCAATTTTGAACATCTTTATTTTAAAATTTTATTTTTTATTTTTAAATAGCTAAATTCAACGATAAATGTAATTTTTTTTTTTAGTACAAAACATGAACCGGCCGTTCTGGTTCGCGATTTTAATAAATTCTAAATATCAGGTTTCGATTCTAAATTGTAATTGAAATATTTCGGTTTGATTGTTATAGTGTCTTTCGATTTGAACTAAATCCTGGTCATAATTTGTTGGTGAAGAAAAATAAATGAAATATTTATTTTAAGGGTAAATATGTTCATTTAACATTTTAGGGGGGGGGGGGCATTCACTTGAATAATTCAGAGGGAAAAAATACTATAAGTATATATAACTCAGTGGGGAAAAGTGATATTTTCCTCTTTTTTTTTTTGTGTTTAATTATTTGGATTAAGACCCTGTTTGATCAATAGTTATGCTGTGCAATCGAATGCACCATGCGCATGGTGCATACGATGCAAAACGACGTCGTTTTGACTAAAATGCGCGTCCCACTTAAAAAAATCAGGTTTGATTTTCGGCAATAGCATTATTGTGGATATATAGTTATGAATTTCTGGATATATAGTTATGAATTTATGGATATTTAGTTCATTCATTGTGGATATTTAGTTCATTCATTGTAGATGTTTACTTCATTCATTCACTGTGGATATATAGTTGTGAATTTATGGATATATAGTTATGAATTTCTGGATATATAGTTATGAATTTATGGATATTTAGTTCATTCATTGTGGATATTTAGTTCAATCATTGTGGATATTTAGTTCATTCATTGTGGATTTTTACTTCATTCATTCACTGTAGATATATAGTTATGAATTTGTGGATATATAGTTATGAATTTATGGATATATAGTTATGAATTTATGGATATATAAAAATGTTATTGCCGGGAATCGAACCTAATTTCTTTTTTAAGTGGAACGCGTGTTTTTTAACTAAAATGATGTCGTTTTGCATCGTATGCACCATGCGCATGGTGCATTCGGTTGCACAGCATAATTTGCGTTGTTTAATAACATTCTTTCCAAAAGGTTGAACCCCAACCCTAATGGCCCCCCACACCCCGGCCCAACAGAGCATCTAGGAGGATGTAAATCATGGTAACTCAACTAATCATGAACCACAGAGGCTAGACATTTGCTTACTGCGCACAAGGAGCCTGTTGGATTAAGACCCTATTTGATAACATAGTTAGTTTATTAGTCAATTTTAATTTATTTGACCATTATTAATTGTTTGACTTAGTTAAACATCTAATATAAGTGTTTGATTAATTAGTTTGTTTTTTTTTTAACAGTTTATTGCTCCAAAACACTAGAATTCGAAAAACTGTTCAAATCAGCTCTTTTGATCAGCTATTTGAGAAAGTTATTTTGCATGTAATAAGCTATCAACTAACAACTAATTCACCAAACATTTTTCTACAATCAGTTAATATTATCAACTAGTCAACCCCACTAACTCAATTAGCTAACCTTTATTTACCAAACCCCCCCTAACCCCCCCCCCCCCCCCTAAATTTTTTTGATAAAAAACAATCTAAATTTTTCATATTTTCAATTTGAAATTGTTTATCTTTCTTCATAAATGTTAAAATGTTGAAGACGATATAATTTTGAATAAAAATGTAACGTATTTCAATTATTATTTACTATAATTTTGATCATAAAAAATATAATGTGTTAAATTTTGAGAGTGGTAAATAAATATAACAAATATAATGATGAGTATTTAAAAATAAAATTTCAAAGTATCTCAAGATTAATGGAACTGAAAGTAAAAAATGATTTTATATAAATAGAAAAAGTGAAATTTGTGGGACCTCTTCCTCGAAAATCTGTTTTCTCTATAATGAAAAAATAAAAGTAATGATAATTAACAAAAGAGTTAATACCTAATTTTTTTTAGAAAAAGTTAATACCTAATTTACTTATCAACTATAATAATTTTTCTCAATTTGATTCTAAATGATTTTTTTTGTTTAATTAGATTCTCGACTTCAATTATATTACCCAGCAATAAAATAACCTTTTAATGGTCAAATGCTTGGTAGGATAATTAAAAAAATAAAATTAAAATTAAAATATACACATGCCATCCTAATTAGCAAAAATTTGTTAATAACCTACTAAAAATCTTAATTACACTTTTTTTTTCAAGTTCATGAAACAATTTAAAGTTTATTCAAGTTCGATGGCTTAATTGTTATCCCCAAATAGTTCAATGATCTATTTGGATCTTTTCCCAACAAAAAATAATAAGATTATAAGTGGTGGTTACCCGACTAGCCGTAGTAGACACCCACATCCGGTGGGGGTGGGGGTGTGTTTTGAAAAAGTCCACCCGATGTGGGTTAGGGGCGGGGGTTGGTGGAGAAAATATAAGGTGGGTCGGGTGATAGGTGTAGCCCTACCCGACCCACCGCCGACCCATTGTCATCCCTAAATGTGAATCAAAATCATAGTTAGTGTTTGGTTAATAGCTTTTTAATGAATTTGATTACTCTTTCAATTAAAGCCCACATTCCCTAATTTAAAAATGTATTATTTCATCTTATTGGTAATATGATTTTTAAGTTTGGATTAGTGCTTTTAAATTTTTGTTTTGATTTTTATTTTTTTGTTAATATTGATACTTTGGATGTCATTATATTATGATCAATTGCTGGTTTTTTTTTTTTTTTTTAATAGTTTTAAAACTTCCGTTATTGGGTCATACATAACCAAACATCAACATTGGTAATCATTCAAATTCTACCCTACCACCAAACATGCAAAATACTTTCACAAAAACTCATACCATTACTAAGTATTTGATTCTCATTCCGATTCTGATTCATATATGCGAACCAAACACACACATTCTGATTCCGATTCAGATAATAACAACATCAACATTAATTATGAACTACAAAATTAAAACACAAAATAAATTTTAATCAATAATATTAATATATCAGGATTGACTCTTAAAAAGATTTCATACGAAATTAAGAGTTAATTCCACCATAGATTCTTTATCTTTGGTGACAATTACAAATTTAGTCCCAAAATTTAGTTTTTACCATTTAACATCCCATACTATTATTTTTTTGGATACTTTTAGTCATTCTCATGATTTTTCTATTTTTAGTAATGACATTTTGATATTTTTCATATTTTTCTTTTGTTATTTTTTCGGTTTTAACCGGTTTAATTGGTTTAAGACTTTAGGTAATATTTGATTGTTTGTAATCATATTTTTCAACTGATATTTAGTCAAGTACTAAACCAATTAAACCGGAAACCGAAAAAATAAGATGTGATTTTAAAGACATTTTGACGAAAGATGAACAATATGACAATCTAGACTGGGGTTTCTCAAATTCACCCTTCGTGACTTTATCACGAGGATTACGTATATATATATATATTAACATGTCTATTAATTTAAACATAATAAATTAATTATAATAAGTATCATATACAAAAATTTAATAAAAATAATATTAAAATATTATCAAATATGACGCATGGAATATCTTAATTTAAATATTAAAAGATTCAATGAAAATTTTAATGATAGTAATAGTTATAGTGTCAATTAATTTATTATGTAGATTTGTAGATCAAACCAACTGCATGAAATATGACGTATGGAATATCTTATAATGATATCGACATAACAACGACAATATAACAATACGGTTAATATTGTTGCTAATCGAACATAAAGTATTCCTATTTAAAAATAAAATTGAAGAATATTTATATTTAAAAATTAATTTGAAGGTATCATAATTTAATGAAAAGAACAAGATTTTTTTTTTTATTTACGAGAAGTTCGTTGTAGCTATTAAAATGCATGTTCTAAGTGAAAACTTATTTTGTAATTTTAGTTGGTAAAAAATATAAGAAGATAATTTAACTTAAGTTATATATAATTAATTAATTAAAATAAAAAATGTGAACTTAAAATATTGTAATTATTCAGTTAATTGTCAAAATAATTTGAAAAAAAAAAAAAAAAAAAAAAAAAAAACTTGGTCATATAGCTGTCGTGGAATGAACATGAATTGATGACATAGTACTATGAGTCGTACGAAGGAAAGCGAAATCAGTTACAGCTGGTGCGTTAGGATTGCTATCATGTGGGCCCACTTTTGGATTCTGCTCGCCAGCCCAAATGAATTGTGACCCGTGATTTCTTTTTCATTTTCTACCCCCCACCCAAAAAAACAAAAAACAAAAAACATTAATGTATTTTTGGGTTTTTTGCAGTACCAAATATAATTATATATGACAATTGTATAATACAATAGCTGGTATAACAAAAAAGTTAATATAAATAATTACTTGGCACTATCGATAGGGATGCCAAACTATGGCTTGACAACAAAAAATAAATAAAAAT